CCCAAGGTACAAACTATTTTACCTTTTGCCCTTGGACTTTATCACTGCCACCACCAAACGTCTAACAGGTATATAATTGGGAAAGAGCCTGTTTGGAAACGTCTTTCCCCCCAAAATCCTCACAACCCTTACACCCCCTTTCTTGGGGAAGGTTTGATAAAAATCCTCACCAATTTGCATAGGTGAACACAGACCCAAACCCTTGGATCTTAAGAACAATGAAAAAGCATTCAGATTCTTAAAAGAAGAATTTTAATAGAAGAAAAAGTAAAAAGAATCACCTCTGTAAAATCAGGATGGTAAATACCTTACAGGGTAATCAGATTCAAAACATAGAGAGTCCCTCGAGGCAAAACCTTAAGTTACAAAAAGACACAAAAATAGGAATCTACATTCCATTCAGCACATCTTATTTTCTCAGCCATTTAAAGAAATCAGAATCTAACGCAAATCTAGCTGGATTACTTACTAAGTTCTAAGATTCCATTCCTGTTCTGTCCCCGGCAAAAGCATCACACAGACGGAGAGAGAGGCTTTGTCTCTCCCTCCCCCCAGCTTTTCAAAGTATCTTGTCTCCTTATTGGTCATTTTGGTCAGGTGCCAGCGAGGCTATCCTAGCTTCTTAACCCTTTACAGGTGAAAGGGTTTTTCCTCTGGCCAAGAGGGATTTTAAAGGTGTTTACCCTTCCCTTTATATTTATGACAGTCTCAAAGGGGTACCACCAGCTGAAAGACAATGGCAGGTCCACAACGAAAACCAAAGACAACCAATACCACAGAGAAGCCACTTGAGGCTGGATAGAAAAAATCAAAGAGATCAAGAAACTGAAGAAATAAGCGTACATTACTGCAGATCAAACAGGGAACTCCCTAGCCAAGCACAGTCAGTATAGAACTGGATGAGAGTCTTCGAGAGGGCACAGAGATATTGACAGTTGGTCTTAGAATGAGGTTGACTTACCAGCGCCTCAAAGGGCTAACGAAATTTGATAGGTAGAGAAGCTCCATCCTGTATCGCACTAGGGAGCTGGACCCAAAAGTAGAAATATGATCTCTTTGCACAAAACTATTCCCAGTGTAGTAGGAAAAGAGCCTGAAACACAAGCCCTTGTATTAGAGGCCTGGTCTGAGGCAGAACCTACTCTCAGAATCTGGCAAGAAAAGGGCTAATATTACAAAAATACACATTCCTAAGAAGTGCTAGTACTCTCACAAACACATCCTGATTTCAAGTGGTACCAGAACATCCCAATATCAAGGATGGTGAAAAAACGTTCCCCAGGGATAACAGGAACACGCTGACCCCTCCCAAAAGATAAGGTCAGGATAACAGTACGTAATAGAAACCAATGTGTATAATGTGATGGGTAATAACTAGCCATGTCAGGGGGCAGTAACTATGTCAGATGGACAGTACTAACTTGTTTGTATAGGGATATAAAAGATGTATTTCAGAGAGAGTATCTTTGTCTGGCCTAGGGAAGAACGGAAATTCCCGCCATTCACTGAGCTGGTCCATTGTTACGGGCATACATGTATTAGTGGTCCAGTAGAGTCTGCGGGATACTAGTACCGTACTTCGTCGACAATAAACCTGGCTGGGTGCCTTCGTCCCTTAATGGATCTTGTAGTCACTGGGCAGTTCACTCAAGGTCTGCCATGCAAGCTGTCTGCGCAGGGCTGGGGCAGCACACAGGGGGAACACACACAAGCAGCTAAACATCTATCAACATCTAACCACACCATGTAAACTCATGTTGTTAGAGTCTGCCTCCATGTAGAAAATATTTTAAAAAACCTTCAATGACCGTGACCCTTCAATGACAGCAATGCCATGCAATAGCTTGAAGTGTAATACAATATAAAGTTTTTAGCAGTGCTACACTAAAATTCCTGTTAAAACAATTTTTTATGTAAATAGTTTATTTGGCTTGAAAGGAGACTGGCCTGGACAGAAATATATGTACAATAACTGATTTAACCTATTAAGTACATATGAGAATTAATAAAAAGGATCAAAAAGTTGCCATGAATATGGCATGAAATCATTTAAGAGAAAAACTGAGTTTCCTCTGGAGGGCATCAAATAGGGTAAAACAAAATAACAAACAACCTATTGGTCTGGGTAACAATTGTTATCATATAGTTTTCTCAGAGCTTGATAAACTGAGATATGAACCTAACTATCCCTCATATGTATTAGACAGAAGCAGTTACCCAAATCAATGGTTTTCATTATTTTGTTTTTCTACCTGAAACTTCAGTTTTGAATTTTGGTATCTTGATGTTCAGGTAGATTGGCTGGGCTTGGACAACCTGTTTTGGCAGTTATGAGATATTAATATTGCAGGATTGTGTGTGCGTGCTAAAATTTCTAAAAATTAAATTAAAAATTCTAAAGAGCACAATGCCACTTTCTCAATGGCTGCCATTTCAACTGTGATACCTGGAATGTAATTTCTTCAGGATAAAAATACTCCAAGTGATTTATTTACAACATACATATTTCTCAAAAGGCAGTCTTGGCACATATAACGAACCTGTGTAGTAAACAGAAATCTCAATCTAAAAGCATCTTTCAGGAGTTTAAGCAACGGCAAAATTAAATTTCTTTTTAAAAAGAAGGACACATTAAACAAATTGGTGGTCTCACTGAAGTTCCCAGCAGAGAGGAGTCTGAATAGACATGAAAACTGGATTGAACTACCCTCTTGCCCCTTGAGGAGGTTTCTTTCATTTAATAATGGCTATCCCAGAAAGCTTCCACTATTCCAGCCAGATCTACTTTGTTCACAAATAGAGAACTTACTTTCTTCGGCTGTCTTTTCCAACCAAAGTCTCTTTCTTTCAACGTATATGGGGGAGGAGTGGGAAGGGGAGGAAGAAGGAGAAAGGGAGGAGGGGAAAGCAAAGTGAGTAATACTATATTTTTCACTAACAAAAATCTGCATTCTAATTTTGGAACTAGAGGTGTTTTATTACAATATTAAGTGCAGTCAGTTTATATCATATATTTAACTGCTTTTGGAGAATGAATATTGTATTAACAACAAAAACATTCAAAATGGGGTAGTTTGTTTTGGTGCTGCATTTTTGTGGTCTTTTTTTAAGGAGACTGCAATATATTGCTGTACGCACAGAAGACCAAGAATAAGTACTTTTAAATAAATGAGCGTAACTTGTCACGTTAATCTGTCTACATGGGTAAATAAGTAAGAGCTTGAAAGTTTTGTTTTATGTAACAGGGAAGAATAGAAGTATTTCGTCTGGTGATTGATCAGAGTTCCTTTATAAGATGATGAGTGGACTATTCTCTGGGAACAAAGTTATAGCCTACAAAAGTCTCTTTGAACTGATTATGGACAGAATATAGTGCTTTTCAGAACACTTACACCCATACAGGAGCTATTTTGGCCAGATATATTTTTATATTCAAAGCGGAAACTTGCATGTCCATAGGGTACTGCTTCCATAATGACCAAAACAATAGCTATAACATTTGGAGAACAGTTCATCATTTGACTCTTCCTCTTTTTTGTGTCAGATATAATTCAACTGGTAATCTTTTATTATGATCAAGTATTTATTGATTCAACCACTAGTTAGAGAGAGATTTTGTATGTTATCCCTCAATTAAGGACCAGGATTTTGAAAGGTATACAAGGAAGACCTACAAATACAGATTTTAAAAAGTAATCTTTCATATTTCATGTATGACCTTTGGACAAGTCACCTTATTTCACTGTTCTCCTGAAAAATGAGAATAATACTTTGCCTCAGAGTGGTGTTGTGAAAATATGTTAATGTTTGTAAGATGATCACATTTTTACTGTATTGGAGGCCATAATCAGGAATATTTCTGAGTAGCTGAAGAATGAGACCAGAATTTGTATGAAAAAGCAGTTATTTTCCAAGAGTAACTCTTCTCCAAGGACCCAGCCCAGTTCCATTAAAGTAAATGGAAAAAACTGCCACTGATTTTAGTGGGAGCTGAACTGGACGCCAGATATATTGCTCCCATGGAATCACATTGTAAGAAACATGTATCTAACCCATACCCATGGAAGTTTTTGAGAGTTGGTTGTTAGAGGGAACGTACAATTCCTTGAGCCCAACATTCCTGCCATGTCCGCTTTGCTTTCTATGAATGCAAAAAGAAGATGATGAAGGGTTATTGAGGAAATATAGTACAGTCTGAGACGTTTCTTACAGTCCTTTCAGTTTCTTGGTTTGCTTTTGCTTTAGAATATAAAATCTAGTGCAATTGATTGCAGCCAGCAGAAATACTGGAAGTCTAACCACATCTTTATACTACCAGTAATGACTCTGTCATAATTATCTCATTGAACAGCTTATTCCATTGCTATATTCCATCCTTTGCCTCTGTGGTTACTACAGTATACCTGTATTGTTTCATATTCTCTGTGTGTATATAAAGTCTGCTGCAGTTTCCACGGTATACATCTGATGAAGTGAGCTGTAGCTCACGAAAGCTCATGCTCAAATAAATTGGTTAGTCTCTAAGGTGCCACAAGTACTCCTTTTCTTTTTGCGAATACAGACTAACACGGCTGTTCCTCTGAAACCTACAGTATACCTGGTTTTTGTCAATTCAGTCTTAAGAGTCCTCACTCCAGTTTTCAGACAAAGATTCCCAGACACAAGAAACTATTTTGAACATGTTTGCACAAAGTGAGCAAACATCACCCCAGCCCCCTAAAACTCAAGACTGAAATATTTAGCATGGGATTTGCAAAAGAGATTAAAGGAATTAGGCATCTGACTCCCATTGACTTAACTCTTTAGACTCCTTTGAAAATCCCAGCATTAAGTTTCATACCCCACCTATTTATTTATTTATTTAAAAGCCAGATCATATGCTCAAGACTAGTGCAAATATTTCTAAAATCTCCACATTGTGGTATCCATAACAGATAAGCAATAGTTCACATATATGGGAAAAAGAATATTATGGAAAAAGTCATAAGATAAAAAAAGTGTACTATTATGCAGTTTATTTCCAGTGAAACCAAATTTTACTATGGCTGTGATCACAGAACGTCTTCACATTTGATGCAAATATGAGAGATCAATTACAAAGTCACTTGGTGCAACTATCTTTGACAAAAACAAAAAACACATTGTTCAGTTATATTATGTAAAACAGTTTATAAGCATAACTTTAATAAGATCCAACTGCACTGCAGTTGCAAGAACTTGAACACATAAAGTGCCACATTAATGATCATTCTTTTGACAAATTTAACGTAATACAAGCTTTAGATATTACGGTTGACAGCAAGATGTTCTACAGCAGAAAACTGATGCAAATTTTTCTAACTTTCAGTTTGAAAATTTTAGCTATTATTGTAAATCTAAACAGTTTAGAAAGTCTTACATTCTCTTTCTAAACTAAAATATATAATATATATAGCCTTTATATATAATATATTTTATATATAATTGTTTTCACATTGTAATTAAAACAGAAGAAATTTACATTTTTAGTTTGCTGGGGCAACATCTCATACCAGAGGTTACTTTTATTGTGTTCCTGCAGCACTGTGGACTGGAGGGGAATCATGATCAGAGAGAAAGGAAGTAGCAGCAGCTGCTGCTTCAGGGAGTACAGGTGCAAGCACATGACGACACACCGGGCATGTTCCTGACTAGAAGAGACAAAAGAAACAGGTTAATTGCAAAGTGTGCGTGACTTTACATGTTTTCCAATAGCAATTCTCAACTGCTTTATTCACCTGTCTTTTAAATGTCTCAACCACTGAGGTTTTCATCCCTGTGCTAAGGAGACAATTCCACAACCAAACAGACCTCAGTCTAAATTTTCCAGTGCAATTTAACATTATTACTTCTAGTTAAATTGCTCTGAACCACCTTAAACAATTCCTCATCTTTAGTGATGTTGCACTCTTCACTCCTGTAGTTTGCTATTCTCTCTTCCTAGGCAAGTTATGAAGAAAAAAATAAAATTAAACAAGTTTAAGTCAATTTCTCCAATCCAAGAATAATTTTTTTATCTAATCCATTTAAATTTTCTTTTTTCCTCCTAGTAATGAGAAGCACAGTATGGTGTTCTGGGGGTTGGTCATTCTAAAAAATATTGGTACCATCACGGCTGCAGTTCAACATTAGGGCTGTACACACATTGCAAGCAATGTCTAAATTGTTTATGGGTCCTGTATACGTTAAATGGTCAAGACTAACCAACTTTGCTCTTTGCATACTCCTAGGGATTTCTTTTCACCACCAACAAAATTGTTTCTTAAAATATTAAAATAATCCAATTAATTATTTTGTGAAATAATCTCGTAATAAGTTTTCAGAAAAAGATGCATGTTGTTCTAACTGACAGAGCACAAACTCACCACTAGTCCCGCAAGCAAGCAAAGGAGAACTCACCTTCTGTAACCAAAGTGTTACACAGGGTTTGTGAAAGAAATGATGACAGGGCAGCTCAGTTATTATTTCTTCTTTCACATACTCACTGCAACAGATAGCACAGCACTGCTCCTGACCAACAGCTTGAGGGGGAAAAAACAGACACATCACAAATTTTAAAATTTAAGTTTAATTAAAAATCAAGTGAAATATGTTAAGAAGATATCAGTGGCTAATCATAATATGATACAGTTTACCAGACTAAGCAAGTCATTTTCCAAAGTGCCCTTATGTTCTACTCAGAGTGAACAGATAATTTCTGAATTTACCACTCAGTATTGTGCTGCGTAACAGAGCGTCAGTTTCCTTTAAATACTGTATGTACACTACCACACTATAACAAATTTAAGCTTAGATACATTTTGCAGGAATTAAAATTTTTAGTGAGCTGCTTTTTCCATACCATTGTGATTTTCTGTAATAATAATCTGTGGCAGACAGTCTATGCTTTCTTTGCTGGCTGGTGGATGAGCTTGCTCAACATCAACGGCAAGAGACTCCAGATGTGCCAATGCAGTCTAAAAAGGAAGTTTTTGTTTTAAAAAAGTTACGTTTCCTTATTCATGACAGAGATACTTCACATGTAAAAAACCCACCAGACAAAAAAAAATTAATATAGCTATTGTGTTGCTTTATTAAGCAAAAGGATTATGCAAGTTATGTAGAGCAGCATTACTGCTAGATTTTTACAGGTCAAATGGAACAGAAACTTAATTGACTGGCTACTTATTTCTGGATCCCTGGTTTCAAATATCAATTAGGTTATTAGCAAAGAGAGTTATGGTCTCAAGCTACTCCCTAATAAATATTTACTCATATTATAAAGTGGCTGAACAAAATGGCATGAAAATGTCTTTTCAGGAATGACTTAGAGGATGCAGGAGGTCAGAATTGACTGTTTCCTTCGTAACACACTGCTGTTGTCACCTTCTGAAAGCAGTGCCAATGGCTTCATGTTAACAGATTTCCCAGTTTCAACTACAACATAGCCCAAAACTATAAACGAGAAATTAAGGCTAATTGTAGTGGGCTTGACTATGGATCAGCAGCAATACTAGTTTTTAGGAGGAAAGCAGAATCCATCGAGGTCATTATGCGAATGAGTGACATTTCACGAAGACTCAAATAATGCAAGGAGTAGGGATATTTCAGTAGATGGTACTCTTCCCTGTGGCTCGCTACTCAACGGATGTATAGTGGTGAGTGGAGAAGCACTGTACTCTTTGAGGAGCCATTTCTTGGTTAACACTTACAACTTAAGATCTTGACCAATACAAGGTCATTAAAGATCACTTTTTCTAAGAGTAAGGAGTTAACACTGGTGTCCCTGACCAAATACGACATGATTAGTCACATTCTGTCCAACTAAAATTCATACTTCAGTTTCAACTAGATACAGTATTCTTTATTTTCTGACAACTTATGTGGCATAACGTAAAACATGTTCCATCTAATGTGTAGCTGCTTTTCAGTGCACAGAGAAGCGGACCCCATTTTATTTACTTACCTTATAATGATGTTGAGAGCCTTAACCAATTGTTTGTAAAGTATTTTACAATTCCTGGATGAAAGGTACTGTAGAAATGTACTGGTATATTTATTATTATTTTCTTATTTCCCAACTTAAAGAACATTTATTGCACTTACAACATGGAAAGCTGAAGCAAATGAACATAATACTGAGATATTATATGGCGTGGATGACATGTTAAATAGATTTTACATCTTAAAGATACAAAATCCTTTAAAAAAAAAAAACTTAAATCAAGCTAGAAAGCCAAGAATACTGGAATAATGGATCACATGCAAACCAGACCTTGCAAGTCTGGAAAAACAGATTTTAGAGTCAGAAGCCCATATTCACTGGACCAGCTGAATTCCGCTCAGCACAAATCCAGAGAGGGCGGAAACAAGGATGGCATTAAAGCCACTTTTGAGGGTCCCCAATCCTAGACCTCACATAAATGACAGCAACTTTTTGGCTATGCTCTCACTTGCTAGTTACCATTGGCCCCAAAAACCTATTCTGGCAGCTGAGGATCACAAAGATATAGCACGCTCCCATCTCATGTTCCTTATGCTGGGACCAAGGGAAAGTGGGATTGTGCAGGAACTCATACACCTCTTTTCAAGTAGCTGGTATAGCACAAGGCTGACTGAGCAGGAGAGTGAATCTGGACATAAATATTTTATTAAACTGGCACCACATGGCTCTTAATGCCTAGTATCTTCAATAATTATGATACTCTTTCTTTAAAAAGAGATTCTTATTGGGAAATAAATAAATATTTATCAATATATATTAACACAAACATATATTTCTGTACACGTAACATGTGACAAACGTTCAAATACAACGAAACAAAACAAGTTAAGCCATTTTACACTGTCTCTCCTTCATTCTTCCACCCAGAGACACATACTTCATCACTAACAAGCCATCCATCTTCTCACCAAAGAGATAAGCACAAGCTATTCATAAAAATACATTTTACTTTTAAGAACAGCACACTAAACTAATAAATGACATTTGAACAGGTTCCCAAGTTTCAAAGTTGAGGTTCATCAGAAAGATATTGGAATATGCATATCTAATGTGGACTCTGACTGAATACTTGGCAACTCAGGTCCCTAGTGTTTAAAATAAGAAGTCTGAGACTGAGATGAGGCCTCAATTTAAAAAGTTTCAAAATCCAGTAAAACCAGAAGAACTACTTTAGATTTGCATAAGAACGTACTTAGGTCAAACTGCAAATTCTTCAAATTTCTAAGGCACTTCAGCAGATTAAAGCGAACTAACATCTATTATTCCCCAAGGTGCACACTAGATGATAAGAAGAGACATAGTACAACCCCCCTACACCCCCCAACTTGCTCTGAACCAAATTTTACAGATTTCAATTTAGGATGTACCTAACAATAGTCTTACAGTAGAACAATAGCAATTGAAATTGAACAGCTAAGATGCCACTTTAATACAGGCATGGATTTTTGGGGGGGAGGGGAGAGTCAGCATCCAATTTATTTATTTTAATGGACACAAAACTTATTAGGTTTGAATAATCTCTAATAGTAATATTTACAGAAAATGTTACTGAGATCTACAGCAGCCAATTAATTACTAATTAACATAAAATACAAAAGGGGAAAGCACTCAATACACTAAACTAAGGGACTACTATGTTGGATTATATCTGGATTTACTTTGAGTGTGTCCATCTCAATCTTTAAATAGGGAGAAAGTTTACAGAACCAAGTCCAACATTTTAAAGGGTTAGAATTGGTTTAATTTATGTTCCTGTATAAGATATTATCTTTGAGTGTTAATCTTAAAAAATATTTAAATCTTTAAATGCAGTATTACATAACTTAGTTTTAACATGAAAAAAACATCAAAAGCAAGAAATGGACAAGAAATTTGGGAAACCATGAAAAAAAAAATCTGAAGGGTGGCATGGGGGAGGGGAGGAGGGGATAATAATTCATTTGATGCTTTTCCCCAAGCCTAAATATCAAAGTAGTCCAAAGAAATGGCTATCCTGAAGCTACAAAATATAGTAGTGTATGTTATTAAAAACAGTTAATGAGAACACCTGGGAATCAACCTCAGGCCTTTACTTCTTCCCCGAATGACACATTTCCTAATTATTGCTTATTTTAAAGGTTTTTTTGCACCTCCTGTCTATAGACTTCCAGCCAGGTTTCCACTCTCATCCTCCTATTTGGGCCTACAGCCCATCTTGTACTCTGAAATAAGTTGAAAGATATACCAGCACTTGTTCTATAGCTTAATTAGAACAGGTGGAAAATTATCACAAATGGTTTATAAGATTAAGTTTGCTGGACACAGAAGCGGAGCTTTCTTTGACATTCAGTAAGATTCTGGAATCTATGAATAAACAATTGGCTAATCTACCAATTAGACGGGAGAAAAATGGATAGGGTCATGCTTAATTGTGACAGCTCAGTCTCTCCCTTTCCCAGAGTAAGATAAACTTGAATTTTTGCAATACTACAGTTTTCCCTCCCTTTCAAGTGCTCCTTAGCTACAGCAAATTGGTTTTGCTAGGTAGAGAGATTTTCTCAATAACTTCTGAGCTATAATAGCCTCAGATGAAAGTTAGGTTGTCACGGGGAAAGGTATCTAGCAAATGAATTTGCTAGTTCAGATAAGGAACATTAGAAATTTTGGGAAGATTGGGGAAGGGGGTTTAAATAAATTAGTACCTCTGAAAGAATGAATTGCACTGTCACAAGACAGATAGGATTTTCTTGATGATATCATTAAAATCAACCCTACCAGTTCCTCAAATATCAAAAAATTGTACATAATATTTCAAGTCAGTGGTTAGACCAGGGGTCGGCAACCTATGGCACGCATGCCAAAGGCGGCATGGGAGCTGATTTTCAGTGGCACTCACGCTTCCCGGGTCCTGGCCACCGGTCCGGGGGGCTCTGCATTTTAATTTAATTTTAAATGAAGCTTCTTAAACATTTTTAAAACCTTATTTACTTTACATACAACAATAGTTTAGTTATATATTAGAGATTTATAGAAAGAGACCTTCTAAAAATGTTAAAATGTATTACAGACACACGAAACCTTAAATTAGAGTGAAAAAATGAAGACTCGGCACACCACTTCTGAAAAGTTGCTGACCCTTGGGTTAGACTTTGAGAACACCCTTAACCCCACATGCAAAATGTTGCCAAACTGTGATACTCCTGGCCACCTCATTGTATTTGACAGGGAGCAGCCAGTCTTCTTTTTAAGCTACAGAACAAAATGCTATTTACTATCCCATATTCACCACATTTCCTACACTCCGTATATGTAGATAATCAGAAATTGCCGATACCTGTAGATGGTGATAAGTCATTTCCATGAACATGCTTGTTACCTGAATTTGAAAAGACTCAGGTTAGTGAAGGAGAGTGCAGGATTCTTAACTGTTTGTACCCCAGAACAAGCTAGCTTAAAAGATTATTTTTCTGAAAAATGTAATTCCAGGGCTGGAATGTTTGTGGGCATTATGACAGTGGTACTAAATAGGAGAGAAAACCTTCGTACCATTATGCCAGTATTCTGAGAAATGTAAGACGTTCTCTGTTCCAAGATTTTTATTTTATTTTACTTGCTTCACATCGATTTTAGATTTTCCAATTGCATGGTGCACCATTTAAAGGCTCTATCTACAAGGACCTAAAAGCAAGAGAAGGAATCATTTAAACTTGGTTTGAAAACAGTATCAGGAACATTAATTTCTAGCACTGTGTGCCTAACCAATGTGGGATGGTGCTGCACCTTTTCCACAGTGTCCTACACTAGGTAGCTTGCCTTAATTTAGGCTAACACTAGCCAGCCAAATCATGTTAAACTCCATCTTCTAGACAGGGCCGGCTCCAGGCACCAGCTTTCCAAGTAGGCATTCCAAGGCAGCATTCAGAATGGGGCGGTAGTCCGTGTCCCGCGGCGGCAATTTGGCGGCACCCCCGCCGCTCTTCCCGCTACGGCGGCAATTCAGTGGCGACTGCTTGGGGTGGCAAAATTGGTAGACCTGCCCCTGCTTCTAGAACAGTGGTGGGCAACCTGTGGGCCCATCAGGGTAAGCTGACTGCGGGCCACAAGACATGTTGACGTTGACCATCCACAGGCATGGCCCCAGTTGACCATCCACAGGTTGGCTGACTGCGGGCCGCAAGACATGTTGATGTTGACCATCCACAGGTTGCCCACTACGGTTCTAGAACCTTTTGTAAGAGAATTTAAAACAGTATGTCCTGTTTCTAAATCAGGCTATGCTCATCAAACATGGGACCTTAGTAGATCAAAATCCAGATGACAGCCGAACACACAGTCCTCTGGGTAGCACAGATTTTCAGTCAGTTTCCTTTTCAAGTTCCAGAAGGTACATACAAAGTTCTCCCAAAGGAAACCAAGCCATATGTTGGATAATTCTTGCTGTTTTCTGGCCAATTTTTGTAACTATCTTGAAGCTCGGAGTAGAGGTGAGCCATCTATAGAATTCTGATTTGGAGTACATATCTTGAGATCTTCTCAAAATTCCTGTTGTTTCTGGTATAATCAAATAATATAGATGTAGTTTTTTTGCTATTTTGAAAGTCTCCTCACCACTTTAAACCATTTCTGAAAACAGTTGATCAGCCTAGAAAATATTCTGTACCTCTGAATGTAGTAAGTGTGCAAAAATATATAGGATGCTCTATTGATCAGAAATCTTCCCAGTATAGCTAGATAGTAGAGGGTAGGGAATTTAACATATCTAAAGATAACATGATCAGAGATTAAACATTTCCTACATTCAGTAAACCAATGCAGTAAGTCTGTTCTTTTGGACAAGGGAGTAGCAAACGACAACACTTGACATATGCCAGATTTTCAATTCAATAAAAGAAGCAGATACAACTGATAATCAAATCAGAAACAGGCAATATCCATTTTTCAAATTGCTTCATGGATTTAAGTTTGGAGAGGAAGAGGCATTGACATTAGCCATATTAAAAGGAAGAAGCTCTTAGAAGAACAGAGTTGGGTCAAGTTATAGAATCTAAGGAAGAGATCTACTAAAACATGACACCTATGGTCTCCCCCTCATGATTACTGGAAATGCAAATTTTAGACGGATATGCCAATAGGTTTTTACCAGTGGTTCACATGGGTAGCTATTCTTTACATCATAAAATGTTTAATGCAAAGGTGTACGTGTATATTAGAACTCAAAATCCTCAAATTACTCATTTTCATTAGGCTCGGTTATTAATCAAAATGCTGAAATTATTGTATTAGGAAGTTGTAGCCACTATTATAATAAATCAGGGTTTCTGTACTGATGTTAATTATGTGTGAAAGTTTGCTTCCTTCATATTGTGAAAGCCAATTCCCCTCCAGCCTGGAAAGCACATATTACACATGTAGGGTTGATTCTTGGCATTAATAAAATTTTGAAAGTCTCCTCACCACTTTAAACCATGTCTGAAAACAGCTGAACAGCCTAGAAAATATTCTGTACCTCTGAATGTAGTAAGTATGCAAAAATATATAGGATGCTCTATTGATCAGAAATCTTCCCAGTATAGCTAGACAGTAGAAGGTCGAGAATTTAACAGGTTGATTCTTGGCATTAATAAAATTAGGACAGGTGCATGGAATGACTGTTCACCTAAAAAAGGTAAAGAATCATGAATACAGGAACACCTAGAAGTATTCTGGTAACAATAAAGAGGACACTGACTGGAGACAGTGCAATAGATAGAACAGCATGCAAGTTTAAAACTCATCTGCTCCCTATAAGCTATTTAATAGCCTATGAGCTATCTTTTCTCCCTAAAGAAGCTGTATTTACATTAAAAGAAAAGGAGTACTTGTGGCACCTTAGAGACTAACCAATTTATTTGAGCCTAAGCTTTCGTGAGCTACAGCTTATGCTCACGAAAGCTTATGCTCAAATAAATAGGTTAGTCTCTAAGGTGCCACAAGTACTCCTTTTCTTTTTGCGAATACAGACTAACACGGCTGTTACTCTGAAACCTGTATTTACATTAGCTCCAGTCTTGCTTGTAGATGCAGAGCCATCCCGATGCCCTTGATAATGACATAAAACCAGAAAAAGGTTCAGATTTTAATGAGAGCGGATCTGAATCCTGACTTTCACAGAGGCTCAGTGAATATGGTATTAGATTCAACCTGTATCAACAAATACATTGTGTCAACATTCGCAACACAATACAGAATTGCTAAATTTGTTTAGCCAAAAGCATAGAGTCCATACCTTTAAAGAATTACTTGAATTTACAAATGAGAATGATACTATCCCACAATGGGGTTTTCCAGGAAGCGTAGAGAAGTGATGTATGTACCAGGTATCATAAGTGTCAACCAGTTATTAAAGCCATATAAGATGCTTTGAAACATCCTATTGGGCATTTATGTACTGCTGACAAAAATCAATTATATCAAGCTCTTTTGCTTTCCATAACGCTTCAGACAACTAAGACCTAATTTTAAACACTGGTATATAGTCCAAGTCAGTGGTTCTCAACTGGCGGCCCAATCAGCACTCAGCTGAGTCCCTTGTGACATACTCAGGGCCATACAAATAGTATATATATTGTGTGGATGTGGCCCACATAAACAGAGAGAGCTGCATAGGAGATCCACAACAGTAAATAGGTTGAGACCCACTGTTCTAAGGGAATCGTCTTCCCTCCTGGTCTGATATAAAAACTGACTGGATAGGACTGACTGGATAGGACAAGTTGCAGTGGGGGAGGTTTAGATTGGATATTAGGAAAAACTTTTTCACTAAGAGGGTGGTGAAACACTGGAATGCGTTACCTAGGGAGGTGGTAGAATCTCCTTCCTTAGAGGTTTTTAAGGTCAGGCTTGACAAAGCCCTGGCTGGGATGATTTAACTGCGATTTGGTCCTGCTTCGAGCAGGGGGTTGGACTAGATGACCTTCTGGGGTCCCTTCCAACCCTGATATTCTATGATTCTATGATTCTATGACTTGTGTCACTCTCAAAGACTAAATAAGAACTTGTTTACGGTCATCCACGAATTACTAAATGGATAGAATGCTCAACAGCTCCCAACCATACTACCACCCTTACAGCAGCTCTCTCAGTCAATCGGGCATACAGCCCCCAAGGACTGCCATTACAGATGGAATTAAACAGGGGCTCATGCTTTTCTTCCGATAGAAGAGCTTATGTCTGTTGCATACTAGCAATATAGACAAACTTCTTGCAGGCTCAACACCCCAAGACTTCTGGGTCAGGTATAAACATATGAATATGAACACAAATAGGACAAGATTATCTGGTAAATATAACAAACATAAAGGATTTGCCCTCTCCATGCAGGCTCCCCTATTCTTGTGCAGAGAAGCCACTCAGTTACCACAGTCCCCCCAGGGGAAAAAAACTGGGTGGATAAAAATCAATGATTTAAAATGTAAAAAAAAATAAAAAAATAGATTTTTTTAAATTTAAATCAGATTTTTTTGATAAAATGCTTTTTGAGAAAAAATTCTAATTTTATAGTATGAGACAATGTATTCATATAATGTTCAAGACAAGTTCTGTAAATGAGTTCCAATAGTTCATGGATTAGGGAACCAATTTTATGGAGTTCCAGGGCTTCTGTCTAGATTATTTAGGTTAATCTTTCTATCTACCCAATGGGACTCAGTGCTCAGTCTAGAAGATACCATCAGAGATGTTTAGTTTTTCAGTTCTCAAAATGTGGGTTTGTCTCTCCAGAAATAACATACTTGTTACCAGCCAAAATATTTTAAATAAATAAATAAATAATATATAGAGGAGAGAAATAACAGACCTCAACCCTACTGTCCCTCTGCAAATTGTGTACACAGAGTCAATTCCTTACCTCTCTCTAAAAGTGCAAAGTTTCAAAAAGTTCAATGAATAGCAGATTGTTGGGGGTGGAATAGATCTGGACAAGGAGAAGTAGTCTGGAGACAAATATGAGGAGTGGGGGACAGCCAGTAGAAACAAAAGTGAAACTGTTTGAGCAGCATATTCCAGAAGTCTTTCTGAGTGTAGCCTTCATTGATTTGAGATCTACCATACCGTTCTCTCACTAGAAGGGAAAACCTATAATGGCAGCAGGCCGTGAAAGACACCCAGTTTAGGAATAAGAACCATTCAAGAAATATATGTTTGCTGATGATGTTTTAAAGAAAGGCACACCAGAGAACTGGAGGAAGTCACTTAAGACCTTGGATTCAGACAAGACTGTTGAAGTGATAATCTCACTTTTAACAGCAGTACCTTCTTCTGCTGATGTAGAAAAAATATTTTCTTCCTTTGGACTAATTCATTCCAAATTGAGAAATCGTTTGGAACCTGAAAAAGCAGGAAAGCTTGTTTTTCTTTTCCAGATTATGAACAAACAGGAAAATGAAGGGGAAGACAATACTTACCTGCAGAAGCCAATATTTTAGAGTTTCTCATGTTGACCTGGCTGACATAGTCAATTTATTTATTTTTTTAAAAAATGCCATTTAACTATTTTAATTAAAAACAATTTTAACAAAAACAAATCTGATTTTAAAAAACTTGAACGTTTAACTAAATTAAAAAATTTAGATGCTTGTTTTGTTAAAATATTATATGTTTACTGTTGAAGAAAAAAATCCAGACTACATAACGTTGTTGTTTTAACTAAATAAAACAATTTAAATGTCTGTCTGGTGATGTTCTCCTAATACAGCATGGCAAGAAAATCCTCACAATATTAATGACGATTAACCTGTTGAACTGGAGATATTTTTGAAGTCACTGGGAGGTGAACTATCTGCTTCAATTACCTTTGGTAAATGAAATAATTAAACAATCATTCATTTTCTGATATTGCTGTATAACTAATCTGAAAAGTTTTCAAAATAAATCACTTAAAATGTATAGTGTGTGCCTTCTAAAAATTAAACCTCCATCTACCTCTGAGTTGTGAAGAATATGTATTAAGGTTATAACAACCAACAAGAAAGCACTTTTATGTAGAAATCCATGATTAAATCAAGTCTTCCTTACTAGTGATTTAAAACATGATTTAAATCAAATCCACCCTGAATGAAAACCTGTGACTCAGTAAAGGACTAGCAGAAGTAAAGCAATTTGTCTCCAGTTGAGACGTGCTATTAAGGATCTGGGTAGAGCTGAGTGGTATAGAGCCTAGCGCAGATGCAGAGGTATGACTTTTTTTGGATGGCCCTGACTTCTCGTGGGTCTTAGGGGACCTAGGTGGCATGGGAACAGAATCACTGCTGATGCTACAACCCCTGTCCCCTGATTGAATGATTAAATGAAGAAAAATGTGAAGGGATCCTCATGGGGTTTTTCATCTCCCAGATCTCCTCCCACGGCTATTACCAGGAGAGGACTGAAGAGGCCCATGACCAATATATTAAGGGAGTGAGCTATAGACAGAGATTTAAAAAATTCTCCATGTGTACTACAACAAATGAGTCTATTGAATTTACCCTTTTGAACTAATGGACTGGTAGTCGAATGATGTTGCTCCTGCATTTACAGGATCACATACCAGGTACTCACTGCAGCAATTACTTTACAACAGTACATTACACATCTAAAAGCACCATTTAGCACTTCTTTTGTACAATGCAACCTAAGATTGAGGTGTCTGGGAACATGGGAATTGCCAGACTGGGTCAGACCCATGGTCCATATAGTTCAGTATCCTGTCTAACAGTGACCAGCATCAGATGTCCAAAAAAAGGTGAAGAACCCCACAGCAGGCAAGTGTGGGATAATCTGCACCTCACATTAGGTCTCACCCTGACCTCTAACATTTGATCCTTAGCCAATCTCAATCTCTTCCAAATCTTTTATGATCATGTATTATAATTCTGACTAATTATTCTGATATATAGATTATCCAATTCCTTTTGACATTTTGTTAAATTATTGGCCTCAACGATATCCCATAGCAGCAAATTCCACAGTTTAATTACAGATCGAGTAAAAAATTTATTTTTATCTATTTTGAATTTCTCATCTTTTAATTTAATCAAATGTTCCCTTGTTCTTGTGTTATGAGATAGGAGAAAAGTCCCTAATTCACCTTCTCTAGACCATTCATTATTTTACATATTTTTCATGTCTCCTCTTATTCTCTCAAACTTTTCAATCTCCCTTCATATGAGAATTTTTCCCTTCCCTTCATCACTCTTGCTTTTCTCTGAACCCCCCTTACCCCCCCAGTTTTGTAATATTCTTCTTGAGATGGGGAGACAGGACTGCACACACTATTCCAGATGAGGTTGCATCACTGCTTTATATAAGAGCATTTAATATTGTTTGCACTATTCTCAAACCTTTTTCTTATGCACCCTAACATTTTTTTTTAAACTACAGCTGCACATCAAGAACTCTTCACTGAATTATCTATAATGGAGGCCAGGTCGCTTCCTTGATTTGATACAATTGACAGGTTTATAAGTTGTTTAGTTTTTTCTTTCCAATGCGCATTACATTGCATTTATTGACAATGACTTTTGTTTGCCGTTTTGTTGTCTTTTCACTTCGCTTATTTAGGTCTCTCTGAAATTCCTCACAGTCCCCTATGCTCCTGACTAACCTACATCACTTTGTGTTATCTACTTACCTCCCCAAGCACTCCCCTCTCCAGATTCTCAATTAAACTACATGGGACCTCAAAATCTTATTTCGACAGGAATATCAAACTGGGCTACACTGTTGAATTTTAGTTTTGACATGAGAAGGCCAACTGCTAAAATGCTCTGTATGATGCTACAGAGAAGAGGTCATCTGTTGTCTACCAGAGCAAGGTAATTAAGACTGGAAAAATCGCCACCTTTTCTTAAAATGGACCTGAGCCAAATCTACAGCAGAAATATATCCTGCACCACTGTGGGATCAAAGGGCAAAAAGAGGAAAAAAGGAATTTAGAATTAGGGTTAAGCAGAAATAATTTCTGGGCATGAATCGTACCATTACTGGATGTTCCATATTCAGATTGTAAATATAGAGAAATTGCCAATATTCCTAGAACAGTTTGAACTGTATGTATATGAATGCATGATGGCTATCATTATTGTTATTTCATTGTTGGAGATTAACTTCTCTTAATGAGGAACAACAAAGTAATTTTAAGAGTTCACGGGCTGAAATTGTGGAAAAGCAGCATCACTTGCCCCACAACCTCAGCCGTGCAGAACACAATGCCATCCAGAGCCTCAGAAACAACTCTGACATCATAATCAAAAAGGCTGACAAAGGAGGTGCTGTTGTCATCATGAATAGGTCGGAATATGAACAAGAGGCTGCTCGGCAGCTCTCCAGCACCACTTTCTACAAGCCATTACCCTCTGATCCCACTGAGAGTTACCAAAAGAAACTACAGCATTTGCTCAAGAAACTCCCTGAAAAAGCACAAGATCAAATCCGCACAGACACACCCCTGGAACTCCGACCTGGGATATTCTATCTACTACTCAAGATCCATAAACCTGGAAATCCTGGGCACCCTATCATCTCAGGCATTGGCACCCTGACAGCAGGATTATCTGGCTATGTAGACTCTCTCCTCAGGCCCTACGCTACCAGCACTCCCAGCTACCTTCGAGACACTACTGACTTCCTGAGGAAACTACAATCCATCGGTGATCTTCCTGATAACACCATCCTGGCCACTATGGATTATACACCAACATTCCACACAAAGATGGACTACAAGCCGTCAAGAACACTATCCCCGATAATGTCACGGCTAACCTGGTGGCTGAACTTTGTGACTTTGTCCTTATCCATAACTATTTTACATTTGGGGAAAATGTATACCTTCAAATCAGCGGCACTGCTATGGGTACCCGCATGGCCCCACAGTATGCCAACATTTTTATGGTTGACTTAGAACAACGCTTCCTCAGCTCTCGTCCCCTAACGCTCCTACTCTACTTGCGCTATATTGATGACATCTTCATCATCTGTCATCATGGGTGACTTTAATTTTCCTGATATCTGCTGGGAGAGCAATACAGCGGTGCATAAACAATCCAGGAAGTTTTTGGAAAGTGTAAGGGACAATTTCCTGGTGCAAGTGCTAGAGGAGCCAACTAGGGGGGGAGCTTTTCTTGACCTGCTGCTCACAAACCGGGAAGAATTAGTGGGGGAAGCAAAAGTGGATGGGAATCTGGGAGGCAGTGACCATGAGTTGGTTGAGTTCAGGATCCTGACACAGGGAAGAAAAGTAAGCAGCAGGATACGGACCCTGGACTTCAGGAAAGCAGACTTTGACTCCCTCAGGGAACGGATGGCCAGGATCCCCTGGGGGACTAACATGAAGGGGAAAGGAGTCCAGGAGAGCTGGCTGTACTTCAAGGAATCCCTGTTGAGGTTACAGGGACAAACCATCCCGATGTGTCGAAAGAATAGTAAATATGGCAGGCGACCAGCTTGGCTTAACGGTGAAATCCTAGTGGATCTTAAATATAAAAAAGAAGCTTACAAGAAGTGGAAGGTTGGACATATGACCAGGGAAGAGTTTAAAAATATTGCTCAGGCATGTAGGAATGAAATCAGGAGGGCCAAATCGCACCTGGAGCTGCAGCTAGCGAGAGATGTTAAGAGTAACAAGAAGGGTTTCTTCAGGTATGTTGGCAACAAGAAGAAAGCCAAGGAAAGTGTGGGCCCCTTAATGAATGAGGGAGGCAACCTAGTGACAGAGGATGTGGAAAAAGCTAATGTACACAATGCTTTTTTTGCCTCTGTCTTCACGAACAAGGTCAGCTCCCAGACTGCTGCGCTGGGCATCACAACATGGGGAATAGATGGCCAGCCCTCTGTGGAGAAAGAGGTGGTTAGGGACTATTTAGAAAAGCTGGACGAGCACAAGTCCATGGGGCCAGACGAGTTGCAACCGAGAGTGCTAAAGGAATTGGTGGCTGTGATTGCAGAGCCATTGGCCATTATCTTTGAAAACTTGTGGCGAATGGGGGAAGTCCCGGATGACTGGAAAAAGGCTAATGTAGTGCCATCTTTAAAAAAGGGAAGAAGGAGGATCCTGGGAACTACAGGCCAGTCAGCCTCACCTCAGTCCCTGGAAAAATCATGGAGCAGGTCCTCAAAGAATCAATCCTGAAGCACTTACATGAGAGGAAAGTGATCAGGAACAGTCAGCATGGATTCACCAAGGGAAGGTCATGCCTGACTAATCTAATCGCCTTCTATGATGAGATTACTGGTTCTGTGGATGAAGGGAAAGCAGTGGATGTATTGTTTTTTGACTTTAGCAAAGTTTTTGACACGGTCTCCCACAGTATTCTTGTCAGCAAGTTAAAGAAGTATGGGCTGGATGAATGCAC